TTGGCGAACTGGTCGTTGGCGAACTGAGACGTTGGCGAAACGACCGGTTACCCATATAAGCTGACTGGAACTATTGATTGGAATTTAGTTTAGGAAAAGTTTCACTTCGACTTTTGTGGTTTGCACGTCAGAGTTTTCAGTTCTGAAACGAATGTTCAAATCATTTTTCTCATAAATTTGTGTCCGAACATTTTGATGCACCTGACCTCAATTTTAAATAATAATGACAAAACAGCTGTTTGTATCTGCCATTCCAAGAGTAATTTGGCACTGAACCCCGGCGCTGAACATGCTCACATGTATTTCGGGTTTTGGATAACTGCAGCAAAGTTTGGCTATGAGGGGGGCCGGAAAGATGGGGGATTTAAATTGTTCAGGCGTAATCACTGATCAGTATCTAGATTTACCTCTGGTGTTCCACAGAATGTTGACGTCGTTCCAGAAGGTTCTATTCCTTCCTTGCAAAGTCCGAAGTCTGTTAAAACTACGTGGCCCTGAAAGAGTTTTAAATACATTAAATGATGTTGATATGGGAAGCATATTCTTGAAAATCTTGGTGCGATCCTGAGAGAAAAGCAAACAGGCAAGCTAGCAGGCCGTTACAGTTGNATTTTATACTGATGTGTTAATCACCATGCATAATTCAGTGTGTAGAGGTTGCAGATACTCTAAGAGTGTGTATAATAGCTTGATTATTCTAGATAGCACAGTTTAACTCCATTAATTGCCCTTATGTTACTTTTTGTGTTATGTACTCGAAAAATAATTCTTCAACCTCAACATCTCATGATGACAATTATGATGATGACGATGATGACGACAACGATCATGACGATCATGACAATGACAATTATGGCCGAGGTGATGAAGGATACTTAATTTAACAGTAAATGCCAATAGTAATAATAACAGTAAGCAGTGAAATTTTCATTTAGGTTAATGTTATTCTAGGAATTATATCTGCGAACAAAAGTTAGGCTAATTAAAACCTGGTAGAATGAAATTAGCAGGGATGCAAAGTGACTTATCTTTTGAACCCTAGTGTCATGTATTGTAATAAATTAGTGTATTGATTCTGTAAAAGTTGAATAAGTAATGCAAGTATTATTTTTGTTTAACCCTTCTATAGTGACTATAATTTAAGTAACAAATCGTATATAGAGTAAATATACATCTTGTAAGTGAAATAAACTGTGTGTTGCAATAAGAAAACTAAACTAATAATAATAATTATAATTACTTTTGATTGTATGAATCTCCAAGATCAATCTTGTCAATGTCCTTGGCCTTTGTGACAGGAAGAAAAAGAATACATATAAATTTTCAGTTTAAGAAAAAAAAATAAACAAACAAATTAAATCAATAAAATTCACCAAAAACATATTAATATTTATTTTTCACTGCAGTATTCTCCGATTAAGGTTAGATGTGCCCAATCAGCCCTCTCAACAGAAATATCTTGCTGGATCAAACTTGTTAAAGGATACTTTATCATATCAATAACAAAACAATCTAGGATTTGTTAATCCTGTACTGAATAAAACACCTTTGCCTTTGACTACTTTGTCCTGGTGTTTATTCACTTGCAAGAATTTAGTTTAGTGATCAAGTCCTTGGGACATTATTATTATCACACAGTATACAACATTATTTCATGCTATTTGTTAATTAAAACAGTTATTATTTTTCAGAAGAAGAGTACCAGTAAATCAGCCTCGTCAGCTCCAAACTGTTCAGTATCGTCATAAACTTGGGTATTCCTTGGATTATCCAGTGATAAAAACAGGCGGACATCAGGGCTGTGAACAGGTTTACACAACTGATGAATGTTTTCTGCAGTTCACAAATTACTCTGTTGAAATTTCTTTGCAGTAAGAATAACTAAATTCAAATACATTCAGTATTGGCAATAAAATGACCTCACCACCTGAGGAAATCATTGTTCAACTGGAAACCAAATTCTCTCAGCAATTTTTTTTTAAGGATAATAGAGCTGTCTTTTGCCACAAAAGTATGTTAAATCAGACTGTTTTTTTGTATTTCTAATCCAGCCACATGCCCCTGTTTCTAGATAGTGAATAACAGCCAGATGATAGTGACTTATAAGTCAGAACCAGATGGGGTTTGGGACAGGGCAGCACACGCTTGCAGCAAAATAAACTACATGTACGTCACAAGCTTTTTAGAACTCTACTGAAAGTCTATTTATTGTACAGTCAAATCCCAATAAGTCAAAACTTCAAGGAAACTTAAAAAAGGTTTGAGTCATCAGGAATTTGCATTATCGGGAGTTGAGAATGAATGACCAGAAATAAAGAAAAAAACGGTGTTTACCACATTTCTATTCATACAGTGTACATTTTAATCAAATTTAATTATACAGAAGTTGAGTGATAATGGAACTATATATTTCTACATTACTGATGTGGATAAATCAGAACATATAAACATAATGGGAAACAAAAGAAAGCAAAGCATAGCAAGTAGGAGAACTTTACAGGTTTCAAAGAGAACAACGTCAGGCTACTGCTTTGGAGTTCATGTGATTTACTTTTTCAAGAAATAGTTTCTGATCAATGTTTTGGACTTCAGTACTGACTCTCGTCGTGGAGGGTAAAATTGTATGAACAGAATATGACCTGAGGGGAAATGAAAATTGCTTCGCGTTAGCAGGAGGTTCAAGTTACCAAGTGTTCGAGTTATCAGGAATTGACTGCAGTTGAACCTGGTACCTCCTTGAACTCTCCCTTAATCAGTAGATACAGTTTATAACACTGGCTCAATCAAGAATGGGCTGATTTGCTCAAAGATAGGTAAATGGACCCGTGATCAATCATTTCAGAGAAAATAATTTGCAAATTTTGTAAAAGCAGATCAGCCTATACGACTAGCTACTGTGCTCGAAATAGACTTCACAGTGAGTGTCTGGTAACTTTATCAAACGCATCGTAACAAACAGCCTTAATCTGAATATTTCTATAAAATTACAAAAACACTAACTGGAGTTCTTCCAACAATTAACTACCGTAACCAAGAATAGATATATGTTGACTCACTGTTCAATGGCATTGGGATGGCTGATTATCTTGCTTGTAAATTCATTAAGTCCTTCCCTTCTCATTCTTATGAACTCTGACAAAACAATTGAATTGAAATAAAATATTAATAACAATATTTACTACAAATTACATGTAATTACAGTTACAAATTATGTACAAACATTAATGAGAAATTTATTATGTGAACTATGGCCGTTTTATTTTTTTGAGTCAGGAAAGATTGAAATTTCACAAACCTACTATGTCATCCTTTATTTTTAAAGACTTCCTCATTGTGCTGCTCAAGAAAATATCTGTACCCCTACAGATCAGAGTACCTTTTGTTTGAAACCCCTCTCCGTAATTCAATTCAGTGGCAATTCAGTGGGATGGCTTGGGATATTTATTTTTGGTAAGACTGCTCCCAAAATTTCATGATTCGTGCTTATGAAGGCCACTCACCAGGATCAAAATTGTTGCCCAGACGTCGTTTTCCTGGTAACTTTATATTCAACTCAGGGAAGACTTTCTTTATCTGTAAATGAGGTACAATATTAATAATAATACTAAATAATAGCTCCCACTAAATCAAACAAAAGCTATATCCTGTCACTTGAGACTGCTTTTATCACAGAAACAGTTCACAAACTTGTAACACTATGACTAAGAGTTGTTCAAACATGCCTACATATCGTTTGCTCTCACATCTCTGGTTAGCACTATTTATGTAAAGGAAAAGGTACTAAGAGTTGTTCAAACATGTCTACATATCGTTTGCTCTCACATCTCTGGTTAGCACTATTTATGTAAAGGAAAAGGTACAGGCAAAGTCTGCATTTAGCCTAGAGGCCCATCAGACTGGTGCTTATCTCCAATTTCTGTAGCATGAAGTGACTAGCAGTACTTCTACCCACAGCAGAAATTCACTAATTAAATAATGGTAATCCAACATGTCGTGGGTCAATTCTCTTCTCCTGTGTGCCTTGTCTAGTATGAGAAAGGGTTAACCATGCTTAGAGGAGCTTAACAGATAGAATGATTAAAAAAAAATGAAACTTACCTTTTCATACAAGTTGTAAAATTCATTGTATCTCCTGAAGATGAAATAACTTCGACCATCAGGAAGCTTTACAAGAACTTTATACACCTTTAAAATAACGCAACCAAATGTTCAAAATACGACAAACAAATTCAACAAATTCAAACAGGGGCCATGCATGTAACTCCCCCCCCCTTCTACTAACAGGGCTTCCCTAAGATTCCTTGCAGACTCTGCAGGTCGGTACACACAAGGGGCCAAGTCTCAGGACTGCTCCTTGCAACAAGTTTACACAAGGGAGCTAGTTGCAGGGACTAGTCCAATGCAGCATTCACACATAGGGACTAAAAATTGCACAGGAATATATTAACAACTAGGGGCAAAAGGTAGCACAGTTCACTCTACAAACTGACTTTGTAAAATTGTGAAGGTTTAGTCTCCATTAACTGTTTTGAAAGAAACTACATGTAAACAGCCATTTTGCAAGCTATTCTCCGTATTTTTAATTATGATATTCAAAAATCACTATATCAAAAGCCCTCTTTCAAATGAAACTGTTACTTTTGCGGGAAATTGTAATGGTTATGATTAATTGGTAACAGGACATGGTGTCATTCAATTCACTCTGTAATCATACTAGTGATTTAACACAATTCAAATTCTGGCTTCGCATGTCATCCGATTTCGTAAATCGCTTGATGCTTTCCGACCGAATTGGACTCAGTACTATTACCATTATATATAGCTGGAAAATGTAACATAATACAGGGACCGAGGAGGAGGGAGGGGCTGGTAGGGCTATAGCCCTACTACTTTTATTGCTGGGATTGATTTTCTAAGGCTCCAGTTAAGATGGATAGAATATGGATTTTACTACTTTAAAGTGATATTGGCCAGTAGTATTGGCCAGATTTTTTAGCCCT